TGGAAGCCTCATCAAATAATAAATATATAGATTGTTTGTTGTTATATTGATTTCACCTAAATTCTTTTCAATGTACTCTCTATGAGGATAATGGAGTTTAGGTCGCGCAATGGAAGCATCTGCTCGTTGATTAATAATCACATACTATAATTAAATGACGCGAAACTTTCTTAGTGATGCAGGCATTCGTTCAAACCATCAAGCAAGCCAAACTGGCTTATTCTGAATCATGTCCTCTACTTGACGCCAGGTGTTCCAGTGTTAGCTTGCGTTTTTCCTGTTCTGTTCGCCTAACTAGCCATGTATCCGTCCATCCCGCTGATGTTATTCCTTTTGAGAAACGCTTGCAGCACAAGATATGTTTACAACTTCAACAAACTTTATAACCTCCGAGTATTAACAGAATGATTCGGCAGCTCTACTTCATTTGTTGCATAAACGAATTCCCTCTAATTGGCGGTTTCTTTCAGCTCGTTGCATTTCATTTCCCTTTTCCCAACTCTCATAAGTGCTTTCCTCTTTTTAAGGAAGATTCGTTTCTCCATAAACTTATTAGAAATATACTATAGTTTCAATTACTCCGCAGATCACATAGAACCAGTTTTACCTCATTTGTAGTCGTTAAAAGGTGGGCTCAGCTTTAGCCAATTTAGGAGGTATTGGAGTAATTGACCAAGTATTGGTGGAGATTAAAAGCCATTAATAGCTATTAATTCAAATTACAATTTAAATTGCCATTTGGGTGTATTCTGATTGACCACTTCATAAACATAGTAGATGGGCTCACTGAATCTTGCTTTCGAAAATGTTTTTATGCCTCCGAAGATTTATTAGGAGTCTTATTTTTCGTATATATATACGAAAAATAAGTAATGTAGTCTATTGTTATAGCGAAAATACGTCTGCTTCATCGACATTCCCACCAAAGAGTGTGGTATGGGAAAATGCCTGGCCTTCCTTGAAATTCACATCTGCCCTGTGATCCGAGGGCAGATGGCTGAGTGGGTAACGTGTCAGGCTCACATGCAGCACTGTCACGGTTCGTCTTACGCTGGGGGTGTTGATAAGACCTATGCGAGGTCGAAACTGCAGTCCACTCTGTATGAGAACAACTTTTGGGTAAACAAGGCTATGCGAAATTCATGAAAACGTCAGTTCTACTCATATCATTGTGGGAAAAGTCTACTACCAGTCCTTCATCACCTTAAACGAATTAGTGTGAATACATCTCATATAACTCATTAAAAGTCTCTTTGAGCACACTTAACCTTTTTATCCGTTTTTCTTGTAAATAGCTTGCTACTTTTAGTAGTATTTGTAGCATATTGGAATTTCGTAGTATGATGCTTAGCATTTGGCTTTTTTTTCGCTAATTAGTTTTCTTCCTATCTTTCTGAAATACTCGGAAAATTCTGAAAAAACAGGCATTGAAAGGGTGAAAACGCTAAATATATCATGCATATGGACCAGAAACTCTTTACAGAATAATAGCTTATAGCAGTTCGTAAAACCAATTTCTCCTTCCTCTCTGCTTAGGTAGAAGCAATGACAATCTAGTCATCTATTCGATTCAATCTGTCTTGGTCAGAGAGAGTTCTTTCTTTGCTAAATATAAAGTAGTTTTCTTCGTTAGTGGCCACATATAATTAAACTACTTGGGGTAAACCCACTTTTCTTTATTTCTGTTTGGACCTCCTGAGAAGTCAGTTCGATACAATTGAAAGCACAGTAATAAATACCTATTTTCATAAATGCTATAAAAATAATGTCCCCTGCTCATAAAGAAGACTGATCCTAATGGGCTTTTAATCGTCTTAGGCACGATGTAGTTTAGCCCTAATACTAATTTTAATTTTTTGAAGTTCTTTTTTCATTAGCAAAGTTATGCCTTAGAGATTACAGTTTTCCCAACACAATCCTCCTTCAGTCTCCAATGGGGCCAATTCAGTGAGTCGAGTCAAGCCAAATGATTTATTATATTAACTTTTTAATTTAGCTTTAAGATGTCCAAATCAACGGCACTCGTATTTGCATTCATCGGGTAGTAACAGTATAAGAGAAAAAAGCCTTGCTTTTAACTATTTTGCAATCCATTTAATCGAGTGGAACGACAGGCATATTTTTATGATGGCGAGGACGTTATAACTTCTCAACTCGAAACGATTACCATAGCAGTTAAATCTTAGTCTTCATTTTTAAAATAGTTGTGCTAGACTATCAGTAGATCCTAAAAAAGAAATGAACTCACCCGATTTTTTCTCCATAATATGAGTAGGCATCATGTTTCCATTGAAATTCATATAGCCTTGCTGCTTAAACGGTCGAAATTGCAGTCCACCATAGATGAGAATTCCCTTTATGAAGCAAGGCTGTGTGAAAGTTAATGGAAACCTGTATTCTCATCATGTCATAGTGAAAAAATTTCAACTATCAGTCCATCACCTTAAACTAAATAGGGTGAGTACAGCTCCGATTAAAATTTAATTTTGGGCCTAAACCTAAACGAGCAAAACAAGTCTTCCTTCGCATTCTTGAAATTGAAAGTAACAGAGGTAATGTAGATTATTCGTTACTTTATTCCTCAACTTCGTTACCTTTTTCTTACTGTCTTTCGAAGTGAATGTTTATTATAGCTGCCTTATTATTGTCTGGCAAGGATGCTTTCACAGGTGGAACATTCTTTTGGGACGGCAGTCACAATGGCATCTCTTGGTCCAACAAGTGCTCAGTTAGGGTTCATCGGCTTACCCCGACAGGATCCACTGAGGATATACAGGGCACATTTAGCTTCTCTTCGTCAACTCTTGCCTCCTCAACTTTCCAGCCCATCCTGGCCCTATCTTATAGGCTTTCTCCTCACCCCAAAAAGCTTTTCCACTGGCCAGCCGGATTACCAGGCTACAAATTGACTCGTATCCACACGGGCATGCAATATAAACTAGTTGTTTTCTCATTATTAATAGAGTTCTATATTCTCATGTCGTTTCTATTGCCTTTGCTCACATACTCCTCTACTTCACTCTAAGAATATTTCCTTCTCCCCTCTCTCTCTTTTTTTGCTAACTGGTTTCTTCCTGCTATAATCCCACTTATATTTATTGTTTTCCACACTCCGTCCCCTCTTCTTGTAAAATTTTGGAATCTGAACAATAAGTATGATTATTATTTCCTTCAAAAGTAAGATTGTAACTGATTTGTTGTCGTCTATACAATCACTTGCTTATTACATTAATCCCTAACTTTTTTTGCTAGTACCATTATGCAGATAGAGATAAACGGCTTTCATAAATCAATGTCGATATCTCATTGCCTGTCAAGACAAACTCTTCACTCTCATTTCTGTATGATTCTTATATCCCAGAGCTAATCATTTGAAACATCTCTGAAGCTCAGGCCTACTAGCAATCTACCTTTAAGGAAGTCGATAGCGATTCACTTTTTGTGAACTTTTGGCTGTCCGAAACAAGTGAATAAGATTGTAAAAACACTTTTTATGGCTCTTTTGTGTCTCATGACTTAAAGCCAAGGGGTTATTTTTACACAAAGAGGAGATGTAATACAGTAATAATGAAAATTATACCATAATGTATAAGGAATGGGTTGATCTCGTTGTCGCAACTTGGTCTTGTTGTCAGGGAGACTTAGTAAAACGTACCTAGTCCGAAGTCACCTGCTATAGTAGTTGTCATGATTCCCGGCATTAGACAGTGGACTTGGTACCTTCTCACACGTTTCGTCGGCATCATCAGTGAGTTTTGTCATTCTCCGCACCAAGCTACGAACTCGTCAGAGACGAGTTTCTTTGAGTCTCTTTGACGAGTTCGTAGCATGGTGCCGGCGAAACCTTTGAGAATGTACTAAGTCCACTGTCTGATGCTTGGAATCATGACAACTACTATGGCAGACAACTTCGGACTAGGTTCGTTCTACTAAGTCGGCCTGACAACAAGACCAAGTTGCGACAACGAGGTCAACCCTCCTCTATAAATCGAAAGGAGACTGCGACCATACCAGAGGCCACAACATCTTGGTCGTCATAACTTCAATAATGGATAAGCTTTTTTATATAAAAAATATCACCTAGGATAAGTAGACAATTTATCGACACATTATTTTCAATAGCCTGGTCCTAGTAAATTACACATAATTATTATGCATATTAACAATACGATAAAAAAGTTGAGAAGAGTTCTCCTCGTGTTTGCTCATCAAGACTGCTTCTACTCCACATTCGCATGCCTCATGTCATAAATTAAAAACTCAGAGAAGAACGATGATACTTTTACTCGCAATTTGGGCACAATTAATTAAAATCTGAACCCACTTGGGGCATGCGAATTTAACGCAGAAGTCTTCGTGAGAAAATGCGAAGATAATTCATCTCAGTTTTTCATCGTATCTTTCCTAATATTCATTTATCATGCGCTCTGTTGTTACCATTAGTGCCATGCGATCTTCTTGACTAAGATGCCTTATTCTCGAAGGCTTATTGTGAAATAACAGGTGTTTTCTTGCAATTTTTCATGACGCTTTACAGCCTAACAACTATTCTTGACTATGAAATCAGACAAGCTCTCGTCAAGATCCTACCTTGAGGAGTATACATTTGTTTGGTATGTTGAAAGTTGGAGGAATTCATTTCCTTTATGTGATTATTGGCAAAATGACAATTACTCTGCTCGTGTTTAGTGCCATTATTCTTCAAATTATTCCACAAGGTAGATATGGGATGAGGGCGCCGACAAGAGGTTCCGAAAGCTAGTGGTGTGGTTGCTCTCCAAATTGGCCTCACAAACATCTGCCCTCCCTTGCACACTTATACATTCTGGCCATTGGTCTACTTCTCCCTGCTCGGCGGTTTCACTGCAAAAGGTGGAGTCAAAGGGGGTGCGTGAGATCCCGAGGCAGGACACTTCGGACCGGCATGCATTACGGGCTCTGCAACAAAACGGCCGGCTGTAGACCCTGAATGTGCAATAATTTATGCGAAAAGCTCTCTTGAAAAGGAATTATACAAACGTTAATTTTCATAAATATACGTGAAGTTGATTCTATTTTAAACTTAAGTCGACATGGTTTACATCGCAAAATTGGTAGCCAAAGGTTTATTATAAAACGTTACTAGCTTACATTATTTTCAACTAGACACCTGGCGCCAGTTGCAATTATTTGTAAGAACCCACACGTAGTTGTAAGACCAAATTTAATTGCCTCCACTAGCGTACATGGCGGAAAAAGTGGAATGCGTACATGGCATTTTGACTGATGATTCACTGCTCCCAAATGAGCAAGACACATCTTGTACATATTTATAGGAAGGTTAGATCAGCCTACTATTATTATTTGGGTGAGCACATAATACACATTCTCCTACTCTTTCCACTCCGTCCGAAAATGTATTGCCCGTTTTCTCCCTTTACTTCTGAGCTCGACGATGATGTTAAACTCTCCACTGTGGATCATGAGGTACTGTCGCTGACCTAGCATGAGGGGTTAGATCAAGCAAGCGCTTGATTTTGACGTTGGTTACTTGACCGTCAGTATTTGAGGTGCAAAATCAACAAATTCAACCCTTCCCTTTTATAAATAACTATAAATATATATATATATATGTGTGTGTGTGTGGGTGTGTATGCTTGTGAAGAAAGAAAGCGTGAGAAAGGAAGGAAGTCGAGAAAAGTATTTGACACCATTTCAAAACGACTATTTATTGAAAACGATCATTTCGCATGCGTAAATAATGTATAAACAAAATTTCTTAATGAGAATTGTACTAATAATTCCTTGCATAGTGTGCGCCTTGCATGGCCTGTTTTCAACATACCGCAACTGTCTCAGGATTCGTCATAGCTTCGATTTTTGCACATTTTATCGCATTACTTTCGGGTAAGAGGTTTTAGTTTAGTCATCTTAACCTGGGTTTACACAGTCGCCTTCACGTTTGCCCTAATGTGACTTCTTGTCCTTCACAGACCTTCAGTAATTTTTTTTTCTTACTCATTTTATTAATTCTGTGAATACCTATTTTCTTTATATCCACACAGCTTTTTTGCGATTGAATGTAATTTTTGTTTTATCAGCCGAACCATGCATGTAAATGCAAACACACACATCTATGGGTGCCTAATACTTGTTTGAATTAGTTGTTTAGCAAGTTTGTTTGTTTTAGGACTTTTCGTTTAAGGTTTACATGCTCGTATATATGTCTGCCAACTCGATATCGCTAGGTAAATGACCACTTGGTACGTAGGCCAGCCTAACATAGACAGCAGATGCATAGTGAGTAGTGGCTTCTCCATCTTTTCACCAACCTAACGCAGACTCCATGCACTGTAGCCATGCCATTTGTTAGCTTCTAGGCGACTCGAACTGCTAACCTCAGACTCGCGAAATGGGTGCATCAACTCCATAAACCCGGTCCAGTGAAGAAGTCTCTTTTTCAGGGTCTAATAGAACCGACTGATGGACGATAAAGCCAGTTTACAGACACATTCAAAGCTGGAACCTATTCTTGCAAGAGGCTCAAAAATAACACTCAATCAAGAAGGCCCATCGAAAGATAGTTAGTTG